GCCACGCGCTACCAAAATCGCTTGGATATGCGAAATGAGGAGGGAATCTGGGTCATCCAGTAGATTGTTCACGAGTTCGCAGAATGTGCGACCACGCAGATTCGCCGCCTCAAGGTAGACCGGCTGGACCTCGTCCGGCGGAACCTCCCACGTTCTCTCGAGTTGCCGCAATGACCGCGCCGCGAGGCACCTTTCCTGGGCGTCGCAGAGGTCTTGACGGTGAGAGAGCCAGTCAACGGCGGCTGCACGGTCTGGATCGAAAAGGTCATCACGCGCCGATGTCCTGCACGCTTGGAGGAAGGGCAACAACATATGCAGCTCCACGGAGAATGCGGCGCCACTGTGCGTGATAGGCTTGGAGGCATTATATGGGCTGGTACCCCCAAAGAGAGGGGGACGCGGCCCGTAGGTAGCGCGAGAACCCGCTTGAAAAGATCAAGACCGCCACCCGACTTCAAACAGACAAGTCTGTGGTAGGGAAGGATGACTGAGGAGGAGTGCTGCCTCGTAGGCGGGGGACCTAGAAATTCCGGCCATCGCCGGACAAGGATCTGCACATGCCCCGGGCTGAGCTTCCGCAAGTGCATGTCAGCGCCGTAACCGTAAGCTGGAATTCGCGGAACTCCCTGCAGCCTGCTTGGCGCTCCTTTGGTGTAGCTCTGCTGTGTGGCTCCCGCCGCCCTTCTTCAGTCGAGTCCGCGAGGGTGGCGCCCTTGCTAAAGAGGTGGAAGTACAGAAAGTCAACAACCCTGGGCAGGGAATGCTGTAGCAGGACCCGAGAGACCGGTGCAGGGAGCCCGCGCGTCAGGCCCGGCTCCGCTGTGATGTTGTGCAACTCGACTGTACTTAACAGCCACGTCTTAAGGTCGTGCACCGCCGTCAATGGCGGGGGCTGGCTGGATACCAGTTTGGCATGGAGGTCATGGGGCAGGGCCGGCCGAAGGCTCTCAAGGACCGCCTCCGAAAGCTCCGTTTGCGGAAAGAGGGCCCGCATAACCTGCATGTGTGGCGAATCGCCAAGCTTCTTGGGCTTGCCCAAAGGGGTTTGTAGGATGCAAAGGGGAGGAGGGTGGGCCCCAAAAGAAAGTTTTAATTGATTTTTTCAATACGATTTCCTTTCCGATTTTCCGCACGTTTCTTTCATGAGATTGCTGTAGGTCTTTCACATGCTTTCTCATGTTGACTTGCACTGCTTTAGTGCTCTGATGAATGATTCGATTATATCCGTGAAATAGAGGCTCCGGAGGAGGGAGCTTAGAAGTTTTAGTCGGTGGGGGCGCGACCATGGGGTAGCTCCATGGCCACAGCTTCTGCGGAAGCCGGCAGAGGTCAGGCCTGCTGGAATGTGTTCCCTGCCGAATGGGTCGAGCGATTGCGTTCGAAGTATTCCCAGCCATTGGTTGCATTAGAGCTGCTTGAGAGTCCAGAGGGCTTCGAAGATGTGCTTGGAGTCATTTCTGGAAATGATATTTTGCAGACAGCACTGCTACGGGGACGGCTGCAGGCACTTCGTAATCAGTTGGCTGTCAAGAGGAAAATTGTGCAATCACAGGTGAATGCAAGGTTCAAGAAGCCTCGTCTGCCTGTACATCAATCTGACTCTTCGAGAGCGCAGGAAAATTTTGCAGTTGCCGCGAATGCACTGGTACCATTTATCCGGAAGCGTGGGAAGTCAGGTTTGGGCAGGTCTCTGCTTGCTGTGGAGGATGATCCTGACATTCTTGAGTCCAGAGAGCGCGAGCGATGGGTGGAAGTGCTCAGTACTTACATCATTGATGCTCAGTTGCCTGTAGTCTCCTTGATTGAAGGTTCAGAGGATCGTCGGCAAGCCTGGCGCAGGGTGTTCGGAGCCCGGAGGGCCAAGACCTTGAGGAACCGTGCAAGATCCTTTAAGCATTACCGCATGTGGTTGGAGACGGTCAGAGGTTTGGCCTGGCCCTCACGCGTCTCAGACGTTACGGATTTTCTGGAGGAACGTTCGAAGGATGGCTGTGGGTTCAGTGTGCCTGGGGAGCTTCTGGCTGCTTTATCTGTACTGGAGTCCGTGGGCAGAGTTCACATGAGGGATAGGTTCTCCTTGGATGAGACAGTCAAGGCCGTGGCGCAGTCCATTACCGAGGAACTGCAGGGCCGTGCGGCGCCACGCCGCCCAGCCAAGTTGTATACGATGGCCATGCTTATTGCTTTAGAGATTCATGTTTTGGACGAGGATGCTTCTTTGTTTTCGCGAATCATTGCCTGGGTGATTTCTTTGCAACATTGGACTGCTATGAGAGCTGACGATGTTCAATGGTTGGATCCGGGGCGTATGACGCTCACTGATAGCGGCCTTTCCGGAGTACTTAGACGGACCAAGACCACGGGTCCTGGTCGCAGGGCACGCGAGGTGCCTGTCTACGTGGGCCGCGAGGTTTCGCTCTCAGGAAATGATTGGTTGCAAGTGGGCTTTGCTCTGTTCAAGATGCCGGAAGTTTACTGGGAGCGCATGTATTTTCTTCCTTTTCCTTCTGCAGACTGGACTGGTGGAGTCAAGAAGCATTTGTCACCTGAGATGCTGAATGTATGCATCAAGCGGGTACTTGCAGAGCTATCTGTGCCCCAGCGAGGAGAGCATGCTTGGGTCAAAAGCTCCATGAGTTTGCTGCCTCAGGAGCTGTTGCCGTACTGGTCCGGTCACTCTGCAAGACATTGGCTGCCTTCTTGGGCGGCCACACTTGGGGTTTCAAAGCCAGATAGAGATTTCCTGGGAAGGTGGCAAGCTGGAGCGCATGAGAGCAATGAGTACATTGTCACCTCGCGGGAGGTGGTACACCGTGTGCAGATGCAGGTCGTGGAAGGTGCTGCAGTGGGCCACTCCGGAATTGATGAGCGTCCGCTGCTAAATGAGTTGCAGGAATTTGCAAACACACGCGGGGTCAGCTTTGCCAGAGGGGCTGCCCGCCACCGTGTGTGGCGGACGAATGACTCAGGACATCGTGCTTTGCTGCTAGGGTTTCCACTTGATTATGAGCATATCACCGAAGGGCTGGACGTGGAGGCTGCACTGGAGGTGATCGTGGAAGATGAAGATGGGCTAGATCCCGATGTTTCGTGCTTTCCTTATTGGGTCTCTATTTCGAGACGCAGCCAGTTTCGGCGGCTTCATGCCAAGGATAAGTGCGGGATCATGCCTTGGAGTGTTTTTCGTGCAGAAGGTTTCAGAAGTGTTGATTCTGCCAATGCCGATGCTTGGTGTAAGACTTGTTGGAAGAAGGTGTCATGTGAAGAGGCTTCGGCCTCTCAGGAAGTTTCATCCTCGGGATCCTCCTCCAGCACCGAGTTGGAAGAGCCTGAGCAAGCGTCTCAGGAAGAGTGATTTCTGCAGGGGGCCTAAACTGCGCGCTTGTTCGGTGCCCGTGCTGGTCGTCTGTTCTGCCTTTTAGCTCTCTGCACGCATGTACTGTGAGCGCTTGGAAGCAACTCGGAAGTAGTTTTGCGGCTGAAAGACCAGAGCCGAAGGGTCGGATGCTATAGGAGTGGCATCGTAGGGCATGGCCGATGATGCGGCACGTCGGGCATATGTTGCTCAGCATGTCAGTGCTGATCTTGTTTATGTATGGGAGGAAATGGGCGTAAGCTTGCTGCATCAGCGTGAGCTCGGCGAGCGCTATCGCAGTGTTGCCCTGCTCTCTTCCATTGCAGATACAAGAGCGGACGCGCGGACCGCGCTTCGGGCTGAGGTGACTGTCGCTGATAATGCCGATGGCAGAGCGGCAGTGGCAGGTCTGGTAGCAGCGTGGCAGAGTTGCTACGACATGGCTGATCAAGAACGTCGGCTGAAGGCTGAGGCACATGTTCTTGGTCTTCCAAAGCCGCTCCCATCGAACGATCGGATGGGTATGCGTCATGCACTTGAGAGGGTTGTTGGCGCCTTGGAGGAGAAGGACGAACCTAGCTCCACGTATCTTGCATTGAAATTGGAGGAAGTTGAGGCGGGAGAACTCCGTGCTGCGGTACTTGATGAGGTGACCAGCGTCTCCGATGAGGTCAATGCTCAGTTCCAATCCTCAGTAGACTCATCGGGCCGGTTACGGCTTGTGAAGGAGCGCAAGAAGGCCAAGCTCCCAGCTACTTCGGAGGAGCTCCGTCAGCGGCTACGTCTTGAGTGTCATGCTTTTCTGATGCTGGCTGCTAGGTTCCGCACCAAGCCCTGGTTTGTGGACCTCCGGGTGCAGGACTTTACAAAGCATGTCGATTATGTGTTGGGAGGTAAGATCTTTCTTCTGCAAATGTCTCGGCCTGACGGCGCCTCGGGCACTCAGTCGGTCAATCCTTCTTGGACTCTCTTGTTGGGCTTCGAGCATCGACTCCGCAAAGAAGCATACAAGCGTGCTTGCAGGGACAATCGAGATATCTCCACAACACTGGCGGAAGTCAGAACGGATGCAGCACTGAAAGAGACCTACTTTGTAGGACCGTTGGCGCTGGAGCTGGCCAGTCGAGGATCTTCTTCCACGGCACCGCCTCCGCCAGCGAAGTGGCCTCGGCTTCAGGATCATGTACCAGGTGCAGAAGCAAGTGCAAAGGGTAAGGGTGGCAAAGGCCGCGGAAAGGGGGGCAAAAGCAGCCTCCGCATCGGCTATCCCTCGGCCAGGGGGTTCGTGTTTAGCAGCACGCCGGATGGGCGACAGATCTGCTATGCTTACAACAACGGCACATGCAAAGGCGATTGCGGTCGAGTGCACGTCTGCCAATTATGCCTGAAGCCGCACCCTCGCAAAAGCTGCAAACTGCAGAAAGACAAGGGTGGTGCTGAGGACAATCAGCCAAACTGACTAGCCACGGATGTGGCCGTTTCATCTGCTTGGGAGTGCTGGGATCTGGAGCCGGTCAAATCGGACAGGGCCTTTCGTTTTCTGCACTTTTACTCAGGCGGGCGTCGTCATTCCAATGTCCGGGAATGTTTGCAGCGAGAAGCCAAATCACTTGGAATTCGATTGTATGGTCTGGAAGTTGATCTTATGGGAACCTCCCTTAAGAGCGACACTGGATCAGGTTTCAGTGCGGAATTGCAACTGTTGATACAGGAAGCTTCCGTGATCTTGCTGGTCCCGGGGGTCAGCACCCTCAGCAGAGCTAAAGCTCACTGGCGCACCGCCGGTGGGCCCAGGCCGCTTCGCTCTTTACAGTATGTTTTCGGGTTTCCTTGGCTGTCGGATAAAGATCGTTCTACGGTCGAGGAGGCTAATTTCGGGGTGCTGAAGTGCTTCGAAATTTGTTTCATTCGCCTTGAGCTTTGCAAGCCATTCATCTTTGAGCACCCGGAACAACTGGGCGCGGTTAACGACTTCATTCCTGCTTCGGTCTGGGACTTCGATGAATTCAAGCAGCTTCTACTTCTGGATGGGGTGCAATCGGCTGCCTTCTTTCAGTGTCAGTGGGGTGCACCTTCGAGTAAGCCCACTCGCCTTTTATGGAGCCGTCTGGACTGGTGTGAAGCTGCCCTTTTTACGGGGCCGCCTGAGCTTGCGGCGGATGGCCGATATCGCGGGCCTCTTCCGCCCTCCTGCGGTCATCGTCATGATCGCTCACTGGGCAAAGACCTCGCAGGTACTTGGGCCACCGCCTCGGCAGCTTATCCTTCGCTGATGTGCGCCTGGCTTTCCAAAAGCATGCTGCGTCTCTGTCGTGTTGATGGGGCTGGGGACGCATCCACTTTTGGGCGCAGGCCGTTGGAGCAAGCCACCTGGGATTCAGATGACTCCTCGGACGGGGAGGGACCGAAAGACGACTTCGAGCTCTCGTCCTTGCTACTGGAGCTGCCGGCGGGCTCTTGGCCCCCAGCAGGGGAAACTTCGGATGCGGAAAGTTTCGCGGCTCGGCTCCTCAAGAAGGGCAGGGTCACTGTGGAAGACTTCGAAAAGCTCTGTGGGCTGCTGCCGTCGGACCCCGAGGTTCGCGCTACAGCCGGGGATCTGACCTCAAAGACTTTCATGAGTGGCTTCTTTCAACATGGCGGAGTCATCGGGCTTCGCACGCATGTGTCCAGCCACCCCTGGGTTACGGCACTTCTTTGCGGAATTCTTCGCGCTGCACTTCCAGGTTACGCTTTTACTTCGGTGGTGGTGTCTAGGAACCGCCAAGTGCTTCCACATTGCGACAGTCAAAATGGTGCCAACACTTGGCACCTGCTGGTTCCAGCTTCCCGATTTAAGGGGGGAGGGGTCTGGCAAGAAGTGGATGGCGGACTCGAGCCCCTGGAGTACGAGGGCGAGCAGCGCTGGGGCAAAATTCTTCCGGTGGCCACGGGCCCTCAACTTCTGGATCCTCGTCAACTCCATGCTACGATGTCTTGGAAGGGCGTGCGGACCGTGATCATTGGGTTCTCGATCCGGGAGCCTGCGAAAGCTAGCCGTACCTTGAGGAACACCTGGAAAAGGATCTCAGGACTGCAGGGTGTGTCGCAGACGGATGAAGCTGTTTCGGGCGGGCTTACACCATCAGTCCGTCTTCTCGAGCGGGGAGCTGGAGAGGAGGGTGACACCTTCCATGGTCATCTGGTCCAGGCTCGCAAGGACAACTTCGGCGATCCCATCACCGTGCAATGGCGAGGCAAGGTCCATTCCTTCGTTGATGGTTGCGGACTTAACAGTCCGGGTCGCTGGCGCCCGACCGCTCGGGGCCGGGGGCTCACCAAGGAAGCTGACGAGTTCGTGAATGCTCTTCGGAGTCTTCTGGATGATTTCATCAGGACCGAGATCGTGGACCCCAAGCGGGCATATTTCATGTTGGCCCTGGGCAAGTACGAGGAAGCTCCCTTTTCTGCTCAGGCCATGGATCGTCTTCGTAAGTCTTGGTTCTCTCTGCTGGAAGATCCTTCAGCGGCCGCTCACCAGGAGCCTGGGCAACCTTTCTTCCTGGAGGCGCTCTCGCAGACTTGTCGGGCTATGGGAGATGAAGACTGGGAGGTTCTCACACGTGCAGAGGACAACTATGCTCGTGGGCGGAGACTGGGAGTGGACCGGCCCTTTCCTCGCGTAGTGGCGGTCTTCAGGCCAAAGGGGAAATGGCGAGAGTATGACGAGTCTGAGTTTCAGGCAATCAATGAGAACTACTCTTCGGCCAAGGCCGTGCCCGAGCAGCTGGAGAAGCAGTTCGAGGAGGAGGAGGCCCTTGGATTCATGTACCCCTTGTCTGAGAAGGAGGCGCGACGGCGGTTTGGGGAGACGCTGCGGGTGGCAAGTCTCGGAGCTATCATAAAGGACGATGGCTCAGTACGAGCCCTCTTTGACGGCACTCACTCCGTCAAGCTGAACAACATGATTAAGATCTCTGATAAGCTTGAATTCCCTACACCTTCGACTGCCGCGCGGGCAATGGAAATCCAGCAAGAAGATGGTCATCGACTCCTTATAGGAATCGCTGCGGACATTGCAAAAGCACATCGGAGGTACAAGCATGCACCCGAGGATCATGGCTACCTTGGTTGTCGGGCCAGGCCAGACGGCCCGATCTGGATTAACCGGGTGGGAACGTTCGGTGTGGCCTGCGCTGCTTATCACTTCGCCAGGTTGGCTGGGCTGATAGGCCGTGGAGCTCTTCGCATTGCACTGCAGGCCTCGCTTTTCCAAATGCTCTTCGCAGATGACTTGCAGATCATGGCGGGTGGAGAGCAGAAGTACCACGACCTTTGGGTGGTGCTCCTCTACTGGCTTATGGTTGGAACTCCTTTTAAGTGGTCTAAGTTTCGTGGGGGAGTTTGCTTGGATTATGTTGGTTTCTACTTTGATTACTTCCGGTTCAAAGTGGGACTGTCGGAGCGTCGGGCGAACTGGCTCATCGAATTCATCACGGATCTGCAGAGGGGCCGAGGGATGATTGAGCATCGGCGCTTCACCGAGTTTGTGGGGCGACTGGTCTATGCTGGGCAAGTTCTGTACTGGCTCCGACCGTTCATGGGACCGCTTCATCGCTGGAAAGCTGCCATCACTCCAGGAACTGTGGCCTTGGTACCTCGTATGGTGATGGTGGTCCTTCGCTACATCTTGACCTTGTTGCAAGAGAAGCATTATCTTGTCTGCTGTAAGTCGCCACCTTTGATGCTTCGCGAAGCATTTCGCACGGACGCGAAAGCAGAGGATGATTTCTTCGTACTGGGTGGATGGGAAACTCTGCACAGCTTTGAGCCAAAGAAGTGCCGTTGGTTCTCTGTCCGGGTCACTGCCGCTGATTATCCATTCTTGTTCAATGCACAAGGGACGGCGAAAGGAATGAGCACAGTTGCCGAGCTTCTGGCCACGTGGCTGGGGCTGCACTTGTTCGGATGGCTGGATGGGACTGGGCAGAGTTTCACGGTCTCTGCGGGGACCGACAACCTGGCGAATGAGCTGGTCATGCGCCGCCAGGGAACCACGAAGTTCCCGTTGACGTATGTGTATATGCAGCTGGAGTACGATTTGTTCCGCTGCGGGGGCCATATGAACTTGAACTGGCGACCGCGTGAGCTCAATACCGAGGCAGATGACTTGACGAATGAACGGTTCAGCGCCTTCGATTTAGCTCTTCGGATTGATGCGAAGTTTTCTGATGTGCCGTGCAAGCTTCTTCTTGATTTGGCAAGCTTTCATTCTGAGATGCTCGAATGGCGAAAAGGGGGAGAAGGAAGTGCCCCACCAGCTCCTTTGACAAAGAAGCAGAAGTTGGCCACTAAGACGAAGTGGCAAAGCGATCCTCGCGTTGGTGGGTGGAGGCCGGTCCCCGAATGGGGACCCGGTCTCGGCTCGCTGTTACGGCGCGATCTGGACATCCGGAAAAAATGTTGAGTCCTCAGTCCGAAGCCTTGTTGGATTTATATTGGAAAGATATTTGATTCGATTTATATGTTTTCCTGATACGTTTCTTTGCCAGTCGCTTTGCTGGCTCCTACAAAGCTTCTTGGGCTTGCCCAAAGGGGTTTGTAGGATGCAAAGGGGAGGAGGGTGGGCCCCAAAAGAAAGTTTTAATTGATTTTTTCAATACGATTTCCTTTCCGATTTTCTGCTGAGAGTGTGGGGGCAATAAGCGCCGCCGCTCTCAGCAGGGATGCTTCATTTCCTTCCCATCCGCTTGCAGAGCCAAAGAGCCAAACGCGCAGCAAGCTTTTTTTTAGTCTCTGGGACTCTATAAGGAGCTGAAGCTGCAGTTTGTCGGGGGCCCTGAAGCCCCTGGAGTCTTGGAAGAGCGCCTTTAAGCATCCTGGTCCCCCTACATTGTTGTTTGAGGGCTCCTGCCTTAGTTGAAAAAAGCCCTCAAGCCCTGTAATCCTGGGGAGCCGTCTTGAAACACCCTTGAACATCCTTGCAAGATGTCCAGGAAACCCAAAGTTTTGCAGTCTCCAGCGAACCCTCCGACCGGCGCAAGTCTTTATAGTAAGCCATCATGACGCAAGCCCCTTCTCTCATTGGGAGGCTATCATGCCTGCGCCGTGGCTAAAGCATAGCAGTGAAAGTGGCCGACTTTTGTTTGTAAAACCATAAGTCGGGCAGAATGTCCAAGTTGAAGGGCAGTCACACGCACGTTGTCCATTGGGTTTGCAAACTGATGTGTTTTTGTGGACGCTCCAAACCCTGAGCCGCCCAATACCCTGTAAGGAATCAGACATCGTATCCGCCGGAGCGCCAGCCGAAGACGAACCTCTTGAGGCCTAGGTGCTGGTGCATCATGGTTGGGCATGACGATTAGTTTATGTTTCAGAATCGGCAGCATTTTGCGTTAGGAAACATCACATCATCCATTCTCAGGTGAGCAGCGGACTTCCGGCCTTCCGAAAGGTGGGCAATTTTCATCTATTGAATTGGCGACTTAACGCGACAAAACACCAGAGGCAAATTGCTTGATAAAGTGCTGAAGCTAGAGTTTTGGGGCCACGCAGGTGGTCATTAAACTCGGCTCGTCTTACTGTGGCAAGCTGCCAAAGCATGCGCTGTTAGCTCTGCAGAAACTAATGGCTCCGAATAGTTGCAAGTTGCAGCTGCACATTATGAGGCATCACGCTGATGACCACCGGTGCGCTGCCCGCAACACATATAAACCGCCGTGCCTGCTTGATAGGAGATTCGCTCGACATCTGGGCACATTTGCCAGATGTTAACAACATTCGAAGTGCAAAGTATTTCTTTCCCAATGAAGGCTGCCGCTGATACCCTCTGATGGCATGTTGTCTTGACCCGAGCTGACAATCTGTTGCAGCAGTAGCTAGGTGGTAAGCCAGCGGTGTTCCGTCGCCAAGCTTTCATTGCTTACTTGGCGCTTTCTTGTCGCTTTTCTTGTACCGGTGCAGTAGTAACTCCGTCGAAGAGTTTGTCTCTCTCTCTCTCTCTCTCTTGTTTCTCTTGCCTCTTGCACTGTCTTCTCATGCTCTGTCGCAGACCTCGTTTCTCTCTGGTTTTTGCGGCGTCGTGGCACTTCCCCTGCACCAGTGCAGCACGGAAAACCGCTGAAATTATGCACCGCACTCTTGTCCTGAGCTTGCTGGCGGGATCCCGACATGTCAGATCTACGACCTGCTCGAACCCACTTGGCGCACGAAGAGACGTGCGTCGCTTCACTCCTGACGCAAGGGTTCAAACACACATGTTGTACGTTCACGCGCAGGAATATCTTGCGGCTCTATGGAAGCTTCGCGGCATATTGACGTGTAGACGAGCTTAATTAGTCAAGCTATAAGTCCTCCCCATGCTTCCCCTGATCTCGTTTCGCAGGGCTCCAAGACAACAGTTACTGTGTACGGCGTACGGTGCACCGCAAGCACGTCTCTTTCAAGATGTTGGACATGTTTCACGACCATGGTTTGTCCAAAGAATAAGGTGTGAGTGTGTAAGTGTTGCGGTATGGCTTCCACAGGTTTAGGGCACGAGCGGTGTGCTTAGAAATGTTTCCCCGTGCAGTAATTACCCTGCGAGTGTGTCGTTTCTGGATCAAACGTCCGGGCATTGTCCAGACGGGTAATTAGCAATTGTTGTCTATTTCGAACTGTGGTTTGGCAACGCAGAGCGAACTGTGTACGGTCTTCCTGTTTGTCGCAGTACTGTGATTTTTCATTCAAGAAAAGCCATCGTAAGCACCTGCGCGCACGAACCCTGTTGACTGCTGTTGGCTCTTTGGCTCTTTGCTGAGCGCCAGCATTGACAATAATCAGCGACGGGCAGCGTGCGAGGCTGTCAATACTTCCGAGTGGAATCCCCCAGCTGTTGAGCGCCCGAGCCTTGGGTATCAAGCAGTGGGGGTGGCGAATCATCGTGTCTGTCACCCCACTGGCGTTGAGTACGGTCTCCATCAGCCCGCCCTGGTGCGGTCCTCTGGTGCTGCACCATGGGACAGCGGGACATGATCGTGTACCGGCGAGAAAAGCTCCTGCTTGCCAGAGACTCGCTAGACGACCATCAGGCGCCGCAACCACAATGGCGTCCGCGAGGACGTTATGCGAGATCATAAGCAGCAAGCAGAGCCGCATGTTGTTGCGACGTCCATACCACCGGAAAGTCTAAGGACGGCATCAATGCACATAATGGCGAGCAGCAGGGAGAAGGTTTTTTTCGAGGCTCCCGGACATCCAAGGATGTTGAGGGAGGTGCGGCGCTACCAAAATCGCTTGGATATGCAAAATGAGAAGGGAATCTGGGTCATGTAGATTGTTCAAGAGTTCGCAGAATGTGCGACCACACAGATTCGCCGCCTTAAGGCAGACCGGCTGGACCTCGTCCGGCGGAACTCCCACGTTCTCTCGAGTTGCCGCAATGACCGCGCCGCGAGGCACCTTTCCTGGGCGTCGCAGAGGTCTTGACGGTGAGGCCATCACGCACCGATGTCCTGCACGCTGGAAGAGCAACACATATGCAGCTTCACGGAGAATGCGGCACTGTGCGTGACAGGCTTGGAGGCATTTTGTGGGCTGGGTCCCCACACAGCAGAGCCACACAACAGGAGCGCCAAGCAGGCTGCAGGAAGTTCCGCGAATTCCAGCTTTCGGTTGCGGCGCTGACATACACTTGCGGAAGCTCAGCCCGGGGCATGTGCAGATCCTTGTCTGGCGATGGCCGGAATTTCTAGGTCCCCGCCAACGAGGCAGCACTCCCCCTCAGTCATCCTTCCCTCCCACAGACTTGTCTGTTTGAAGTCGGGTGGCGGTCTTGATCTTTTCAAGCGGGTTCTCGCGCTACCTACGGGCCGCGTCTTCCTCTCTTTGGGCTTCCACCGCCCTTCTTCAGTCGAGTCCGCGAGGGTGGCGCCCTTGCTAAAGAGGTGGAAGTACAGAAAGTCAACATCAGAGCTTGTCTTCGCACGCGTGGACCAGCCACAGGGTGATCGGCAGTTGGAGGAGTTGGGAGAAGATGAAATCCGGCATGCCCAGGGCACCAAGCCTGATCACATGGCGGAGCGCACTCCCGACCTCCTGAGCTGCAGCAGAATTGCCGGTCCCAGCTTGAGGCGGTACGTGTCCCTACGCCCGATGCGCCAGGATCGCAAGGACAGCCCCAGTGTAACTGCCTGCCGAGAAACCCTGCACCAGCGGGGACTAGGTCGCAGGGTTGTAAGAAAAATGAGTAGGGCGCAAAGGCATCCGCTGTGTGGGGACTGGAGATGCGAGCTGCGAGGCGCAAGAAGGGTCGGTGCAAGACTGCGATTTCGGGCGAGTTGAGAGGGGCATCCAACATGACATGCGCCGCACGGACAACACACGCAGGAGACAGTAAGAGGCTGGTGTGCTGTCCTGCATGCGAAAGTCTGTCCGGCTCCTCGATGAAAATTTGTCCTTGGTCGCCTTCCATCACCGTCTCGGTTTGACAGCCAGTGGGCCCGTAGCATTAATGTTGCGAGCACACCATCTGCCATTGATCCGTTCGCGGCGGGATATTGAACTGGCCGGCTCCCGAACAGGTGATCTGGATGGGAGCGTGCTCGACCGGCAAGGAGGGTCCGCGATCATCATCGGCGCTGTCCCAATGCGCTTTGACAAAGTGACCAACTGGCTAAATAAGCTTTTAGCAGGGAGGTGTCACTGGCAGCAATGCCAGGACTCCCGCTGGGCAATTGCGTAGACAGACGTTCCAACTCAGACACCCCATTGCCATCGCCGGCATCAATGCATGCAAACTCCAAAGGGCGGCTGGCGCCTTCCAGAGTGGGGTGCTCCGGCCCCACTATGGAGAATCCCGGGGCGCCCATGAGGCCGTACAGGCCGAGCACCCAGCCCGGTGGCTTTCCCCGCCATCCCCAGAGGCACTCGGCCAGGGTTGGGAGCGCACCACATGATTGTGCAACAAGTCTCCTTGTTCACCACCATATTCCCTGGCAGTAAAATATTTTGTAGATCTCTGTTGAGATGTCTACTCCCAGGAAAGCTACCGCTGATGCGGCATTCTTCAGGTGGTCAATGATCCATCGAACTGTAAAAGCCTTGTGTTGCAACATCTCCCGAAATGGAGGATGTATATCGGTTTCGGGAAGGTTCCCTGTTTCGAGAGCCTTAATAAGCTCATCAGGTTGTGCTGAGTGTTTCGTAAGGGCATCTGCAAGACAATATTTTGAACTAACGTGGGCCAAATCATCTAGGGACCCTGAGTTAGACTCCTTTCGAAGCATCTGAATAAGATGATGGGTCTCCTTCTGTTCAGGAAGATGAGTTGTACCCGCAGTTGTGACAAGATTGTTTGCATCGGTTCTTATGTGTAAGGGCACTGTCTCTGATGAGAGATCGGCCCAAAGTCCCTTAAGAAACAAACACGTACCAAAGCAACGCATGAGTGCGTTTAGCTCTGCCACCGTAGTGGACATTGTCGTGGTA